GTCTGCCCTACTGGGGGCTTGTGCCTCATTCCTCCCTCATGTCCTTCCACTTACCCCTCCCTAACCCCCCTTCCTGATGTCAAATAAAATACACTTATTTTCATGAACACAAACTTTCTTTATTTCACAAAACTGGGGGTGAGGGAATGAAACTCTGGTGAGACTAGGGAAAAGAGGTGGGAGAGGGGAGAAGAGAGGGTGGAAGAGGGGAGGGGGAAACCTCAGAGGAGGGAGATGGAAGGGGGAAGCAAGGGAAAGAAGGGAGAGGGGAAGCTCAGGTCTCAGGGGTGGGGTTCTCACTGGACCAACTTGATTTTCATGCAAACCTGCTCCAGGGTTCACATGTGGCCTTTGGTGGACAGGCTGGGAGCTACCTGCCATAGACGGCCGCATTCCTATGTCTAGTGCAGAGATCATGGATGTTGGGGGCATCCCCCCCATACCTGAATAAGGTCCATGATCTCCACCCTGGACCAGGAAGGCATCCGCCTTCTCCGGGCCCTGTCAGGCTCCTGGGAGCTGGCAGACTGCTCCTGGGGAGCGGTGGAGCGATCCCCGCACTAGACCGGGCGGGCGCCCGCCTCTTGCAGCCCCGGGCAGGCTCCTGGGAGCTACCAGCCTGGTCCAGGGAAGAGGCGGAAGACTGGGTGGCAGCGGATACCTGGCTCATGCCCTGCCAGCTGCAGGGTCTGCTGGCTGGATGCTGGCAGGCTTGCAACTGACACAAGCACTGTAGCCAGATTGTGCCCCTTTAAGGGCTCCAGGGCCGGGAGGGGGGCAAAAGAGTTTCCCAGGTTTGGCCCAGAGTAGCCACCAGGGAAAGCTGGGGAGGGCTAGCCTCCCACTAGTTCGAATTAAGTGGCTACACAGCCCTTAATTCAAACTACTTAATTCAAACTAGGCGTTACTCCTCGTAGAATGGGGTTTACTTATTTCGAATTAAGCGCTCCGCTAGTTCGATTTTAATTCGAACTAGTGGTTTGTATGTGTAGCCCCTATTAAAGTTAATTCAAACTAACGTTTGTTAGTTTGAATTAACTTTATAGTGTAGACATACCCCAAGAGGGGAGACTGTAGTGCATCATGGGAGGTGTAGTTCCATCAGGGAGCCTGACCTATGGAAGAGAACTGGAACATGAAAAACTCCCCTGAGGCTCCATGGTGGCCTTTCTGCTTTGGTTTTCAAACATATTTTTGTTCCGAGTCAAAAATATTTTGGTTTCCGGTCAACATTTTTCAATATTCAAACTTGCAATTGGAAAAAAAATTCTGCGGAATCCGCCCCTCCTCCCCCTTTTTCAGCCAGTTCTGTCTAAAATGTCTTTAAAACAAAACAATGACTCCCAGGTCTGTGCCTCAGACGGCGCTTCAGTGCTTGTGAAGGGCATTAACGCAAGAGCACTCCCCACAAAGAAACAAAATCAGTCAAGTGTCCTGGCCATGGAAGTGGGTGGGGAGCCATGGTGAAATATACCCCCATCACACAGTTTATCAGGCCTGCTGAGTCTGACTTGCACACCTGTCTAATTGTAGCTGGACAGAAGCACATTTCACATAGGCCAACCCTCGGCTGACAAATGGCAACAACTCTCAGGTGGCCTTGATGTGGATTTATTTCAAAGCCAGTGACCCGAAGGCAAAAGCTTTCTGTATCCAGTTACTAACTACTGTGAGATCAAAAGAACCTCGTATAATTCACTCGGCTGACAACATCAGAAGCTATAGAACGGCATTCAGAGTCACTAGAGGTGTGAGGCCTGAAGAACAGCTCCACGTGGCTTGAAAGTTTGTCTCTCTCACCCACAGAAGTTGGTCCAATAAAAGATATTCCCTCCTGTATTGTCTCTCTAATACGCGGGGATTTACGCAGCCACAACCACTACAAACAAGGATGAAACAATTCCTCA